TGAAGCTCTGAGCTTCGCCTCTCTCTCCCCTGGACACGTCTTCCCTCTCCCTAACGTGCCCTCATCCACAGAGGCTTTGACAGAGTGAACAGAGATGACCTTGTAGAGCTCGGTGTCTGGCCCACAGCAGTGGTTCTTACTCTTCTTGATGGGTTTTTAAGCCTTACAACTTCTAAGGAATGACTCGGTTTCTTAGTGACTATTGTTTGCCCAGGATTTTTTATAGTAAGCAAGTTATCCCAGCTGAGCCTCACAGTAATTCTATGAAGTAGACATTGGCTCCACCCATTTCAGAGATGAGAAAACTGATGCTTGGTAACTTAACCCAAGTGCCTTAAGTGCAGATAGGGTTCACCAGACCCAAGAGCCTGTGGTCTTTCCCACATACCGAGCTCCTGGGACTCTCCATCTGTATTTCCATGGAGTCCATCATAGTATAAAATACTGGGGCAGTCGGGCGCCTGGGTGGCTCAGTTGGTTAAGCGTCCAACTCTTGATTTCAGCTCTGGTTATCACCTCAGGGTTGTGAGATTGAGCCCCGCCTAAGGCTCTGTGCTGGGCATGGAGCCTGCTTTAGATTCTCTCTCGCCCTCTCCCTCTGCCCTTCCCCATTCCCTCCCTCCCTCCCTCTCTCTAAAAAAAATAATTTCTCTCTCAAACTAAATAAAATTTTTAAAGGGTGGGGTAGGGCGCCTGGGTGGCTCAGTTGGTTAAGCGTCCGACTCTTGATTTCAGTTCAGGTCATGATCTCAGGGTGATGAGATCGAGCCCCACATCTGGCTCCCTGCTCCGTGGGGAGTTTGCTTGAGATTCTCTCTCTCCCTCTGCCCCTCCCCCACTCATGCGTGCATGCACATGCTGTCTCTCTCCCTCTCAAAATAAGTAAAATCTTTTAAAAATAATAATTTAAAAGAACTTTGGCTTTTTTTTTTTTTTAAAGATTTTATTTATTTATTTGAGAGAGAGAGCATGAGGGGGGAGGGTCAGAGGGAGAAGCAGACTCCCTGCCGAGCAGGGAGCCCGATGTGGGACTCGATCCCGGGACTCCAGGATCATGACCTGAGCCAAAAGCAGTCGCTTAACCAACTGAGCCACCCAGGCGCCCCAGAACTTTGGCTTTTTAAAAAATAATAATAAAAATAATAATTAGCAACAGCCAGCTTGGCTTCTTATGGAATCTCTAGGGCACTGTTGGGGCTTCGCAAGGATACAGAGGTGAAGAGAATTAACATTTATTCACCGGGCACTTTTTCTGCGCCTCAGACTGTGACAGGCACTGTATCATTATGGTCTCATTTGTCCCTACACCAACCCGGACGAGGCAGAAGCTGTTTCCCCAGCTTGCATCCTGGACTGCAGAGATAAGAGGCCAGGCTGGTCTTGCAGCCCAGGCCTGCTTCCCCCTAAGCGGAACCAGTTCTGGGCTTGGAAGTGAGAGAGGCCTGCCCTGATTTGAATCACAGGTTGGCAATTCCTGGCTGTAAGACTTTGGGCAAGACATTTAATTTCTCTGAGTCTTAGTTTCATCATCTGTAAAATGGGTTTAGCAACACCTGCCTGGTGAGAGTAGTGAAGTCATGTGTGTATAGTGCCTAGCATAGTCCTGGCATGAAGTGGGCACGTATACCCCACTTCTGTCACCCCAAATGCCTTCTGCCAAGCAGGGTCACTGTGGAACTAAACTGGGAGTCTTGGAAGGCTTGTGCTTTCTGGGCCCAGCAGTACCCTGTGCCCCAGTCTGTTCACTCTGCGTGCACTCATATAAGCCTTTCCAGTGAGCACCACTGTCCACTAGGGGTGAACCTGGGAGACATGGGGTATGGAACCCCTTGAAGGCCTTGAAAAGAATGGCCTGACCAGCGCTCATGTCAGGAGCTTCTGGCCCCCAGCCGGGCTTTATCTGGTACTTAGCTGCAAACGTCTGGGCAGGAGTGGGGCCATTGGCCCAGGGTGGCAGAACATGGGGGATAGCCATTCAGCCTTTCTGGAAGGAGCTTTGTAGCCTGGCACCTGTGGCTGGAGTTCAGATGTTACCAGAGGATTTAGATTTTCTTTTTAAAAAGAAGAAAAAGGAAAGAGCAGAAGAAAGCCTTGCCAGTGTCTGGTGGACCAAGGGGAGTGGGTTGGGGCATGCAGGGGAGAGGCAGGTTGTGGTCGGCCGCATGGGAAGCGCTTTATAAGCTCTGTATTTATTATTTCTTGCTCACCATTAAAATCAAATGTACTCGGTGCTTTTGTATTCAATACACATTTAACCCTGCCGACTTAGATTTCTCAGGTTTTAAATCCAGTGAGGAATTGGCTGGTTTCCCAACTTTCCCCACAAGTCCCCCTTGAACAGAGCTCAAAATCCCTGTTTAGCATTTTCTCCCCTGGCACTGCTGGGATCCCAGCACCAGCAGGGCCAGTCGCCGTTGTGTGTGTTGTGTGTGCATGCGGTTTCTTCCCCCCCTCCCCAGTCCCCTACCCCTCCTCAGCACCCCCGAAAGACGGATGTGATCACTGAAATATGACGGGCCAGTTGTCGGCGCCGTCTTGTGATTCGGGCTTCATTAAACCATTTTGTCCATGTGTGTCGGTGCCTGGTTGTGGCCGTGTGTGTGTGTGCACACGTGTGTGCTTCGTGCATGCACCTTCAACTCCTGTGCGTGCTTCTGTGAATGTGTATTTGTGAGACAGTGTGAATGTCGGCGCCTCGGGGCCTCTGTGCATGTCTCTGGATGGCTGGCTGTGAGTGTAATTGTGTGTCTGGCTTTGTCCACACCAGTCAGGTGTGTGAGACTCTGGGTGGGTCTGAGCTGTGCAGGTGACTGACTGTCTCTGGGTCTGTTGTGCCTTCCTCTCTCTCCCCTGCCTCCCTGCTCCCCTCCCCCACCCCCTTCTCCCTGCTCTGTCTGTTTTATCATCCCTAATGAAGCAGTCTTCTCCATCGATCCTGCTGATTGCCAACCCATTCCTTTTGTTTGTTGGCGCTGAGCCATTCGGCGGCACTCTGACAGCTCAGCTCATCTAATTAGCTCTGTTGTTCTTTTTCCCCATGTTTCACCACGTTGCAAGTTCAGTTGAAGTTGCCACAAACTTAATCCCCCCATTTCAGCCACAAGTTCACATTCCTCTCCCGCCTTTATGGTAGCGAGAAGCGGCTGTGTGCAAGGACCAGCTGGCGGGCCTTCATATCTGATCTTTCCCGAAACCCCCACCCAGGGACCTCCGGGGCAGGGCAGAATGGCTCCGTCACCCCACACTGCACACCCCACATCCGCCTTTGGGGTGAGAAGTCTGGGGGGAGCATTCCAACGCGGTGATCCTGTTGAGCAGCAGCGAGAGGGAGAGGAGTCTGGCTGTGGTCAGGGAAAGCGGGTCAGGGTTTGAATGGGTGGGGGATCTAGCCATCCATTCATTCAGCAGCGGTGACTGGATGTCTGCATTGTAGCAGGCCCTGTTCTAACGACACTGATACTAACAGCAACATTCTTGTGCACTTCTTAGATTCCAAGCAGCCGCATCCATTTGTTCCTAAAAGTCTTGCTGGCTGACCACCGGCATCCCAGGCAGCACTGAGCAGGATGCTAGGCAAGGGTCAGGTCATCTTAGATGGCGTCTTCTCATTCAGAGATGCCCCATCCCCATCTCCTTTTTGTTATTGGTAAGGTCACAGAGAAGCCCCTGTGTGTGCCACACTCCTTGCTGGCGCTTTCCCCGCACCATCTCCTTGGATCTTCGTTCAGAGGAACCCCGTGGAAGAAGACCCCAAGTTTGGTGGAATGCATTTGGCAGTTACCACATCTCTGATTTGCCAAACAAGGCCGAGATCAGACTGGCCACTCCACAAGAAAAACTTCAGTTAGATCAGACATGCAGAGACCTGAGAGCTTGATGAGACTCTGCAAAGACTTGTCTTTCATGCAGCCAACTTCTGTAATCTGTGTTCTCCAGCCATTATGCTGTGTCGCCCACAAATTGCTGGGGGACCCAGGGGGCTCAGGGAAGAGGGCAGGCAGTGAACGGAGCATGTGTGTGCTCTCCTTCCCTGTCTTATCTGAGAACTTCGGCGATTGTGGCATTTCATCTACCTTGGCCCCTCATCTGCAGAGTGAGAACAAACCCCCTGCACTGGGATGTCCAAGAATTTTTATTGGCAACAAAAGTCACAGACAGACTTTCTTGGTTTAGCTCTCTCCAGTCCCTCTCTAGCATTGGATATGCTCAGAGATGATGGAGCCAAATTTAAAGCCATGTAATGTTGACTGGACCAGATGAGGATCCTTCCAAGGGCACCTACAAAAACCCCATCTTGTTGCTGCAGGCCAGCTATGGATTAGGAAACTGTGTACTTCACTGTGAAACACACCCACCGCCCAGCCTCAAGCTGGGTCCTCATGAATGCAGGAGCTCCGTGGGGCGTGCGGGGTCCAGGCTGAGCCCTGCTCGGGAGGACTGCCCAGAGATGGCCTGGGGAACAGAAAGAGGATTTTTATTGGCACTCTGTAATGCTATCATTTGCTTTATTCCCCCCTCCTACTCAGGAAAATAAGCATCCTATGATTGAGTTGTAAAAAGAATGAAATAAACACATGTACCCTAGACATAAAATCCAAGTGAAACCTTTTTGTTCTACCAGACCAGTTTCAGGGTTCTAGAAGAAGGCGAGTGGGGACTTATAAATGAGGGTCTTTGTGTTTCTGGGTCCTGTATGGACAGTGTCTTGTTGAAGTCCCACGGCAGCCCCGCAAGGAGGCAGGTGGAGCTGTCCCCTATTGCAGACGAGGAAACCAAGCTCTTCGGAAGAACCTTTCCTATTTGAGTAGGCCACGGAAGTCCAATTCATGGATCTGCTGCAAATTTAGTGGCAATGTTCTCACAATAAGCAGAGCTTTTCTAGCGTGTACCGTGCAAACGCCTCAACATTTATTTGGGGGCTGCTTATCTAGATCTGCAGAATGTTCTTGTATGGCTTTTCCAACTCACTCCTTGGGGCCTTTCCCCTGTGCCCGTTCTAGGTGCGCCCTCCCCGTCCGCACGTCGTGAAGAGACCGAAGAGCAACATCACGGTGGAAGGCCGGAGGACTTCTATCTCCAGCCCTGAGCAGTGAGTACCCCGTTGCTCCCCTCCCCTCTGTCTCCCAGAGCCCAGGGGTCTAGGCCTTTGTGGGGTCCGTGCTGCAGCTCTGGCCTTTGAAGGCTCCCTGGAGCCCTGAGCGGGTGTTTAAACAAAGAGGTCAGTCAGGGAGTTGGGCTTGATCTTCCATGTCGGCTTTTTCTAGCAGTTGTCACGCCCGCAGGAGGAGCCAGGCCTCTGGGCTAGGTTGTGAGTGGTGACACCCAAAGTGTACTCAAACAGGCTCAGAAGAAGGTTTCAGGCCTGGGTCAGCAGGGGAGAGCTAGGAACCTGGTTGAGGAGGTGATCTCTTTAGCAAGGGGCAACCACTCTCCTAAGCCTGGGGTGCTCCAGGGCTCTAGAGCTTGGATTTGTACCCAGAACTGTCCTTATCCACCACCCCACCCCCACCAGTACCTTTGCTCCCCTGTGCCACGGCAGTCATTTTATTAGGGCTTGGCTTTTCACCTCCCCTCAGGCCCAGAGCTCTGCGGGCGGGCACTGGGTGTTCTGCCCAGAAGCTAGCACAGGGCCCGGCTCAGGGTCATGTGCAGGATAGATGCTGGATAGAGGAGGTAAATAATGAGGCAGGTGGACAAGCGGTGCCTGGAGATGGAGCTGCCCGAGTGGCGTGAGGCTTAGAGCTGCACACAGCCCCCAGTCCAGAACTGTCTGGAGTGCTGCCCTTTGTCCCCAAGGCCCACAGCCCTGGGGCTCTGCCCAGACAACTCAGCAGCTACACACTGGCTTCCTATGATGCTTTGAAAAAGTACACGAAACCGTCTCAGTCTGGGGTTTGTTAGGGGAGCCAAAACAGTTGCCCCGGGGACCCTGAAGTCCCTTGGGTGAAGAGAGGAATGCTCCTCCTGTCTGCTCTACTTTCAGGAAAGTTGTCAGGGAAAGAAGCTAAGGGAAGTGGCAGGCCCTAGCCAGGAAAGGAGCCAGAAAGAAGAAACAATTCTGAAATGTCAAGCTGTGGCCTAACCTGGGTTGCAGTATACTTCAGCTCTTCTAGGATTCTCTGGTTTACAGTCTGGTGCTGCTTGAGACCACTGTGTTGTTACAGAACCAGCCTACCTAGGCCTGCTTACACCCTGCCCAGAAAGCTGTGGGAACTGTGTGTGTGTGTGTGTGTTTGCATGCACACATCTTGAAAGATGCTTGATTATGCAAAATTTGGAAGAGAGGACTCCTGAAGTTGGTTGTAGGCATAACTTAGCCTCTGCACAATAGGACGGTGGGAATATTACGGAATAGTTCCCTGGCCGCGACTGGCATGGATTATGATTGCCCCCTTGTGGAGAAAATGCCGTATAGCTTCAGAGTTCCTCAGACCCTAAAGATTTCTCTTTAGGGAGGGATGAAATTAGTTACTTTTCTTTAAAACCATGTCTTTAAAACTGGGCTAAATCTTTTAGACACTGTGTGGGTGGGGCCTGTGGATACTGAATTGCAAACCCAGTGTGTCCTTGCATTGCCCAAGAGCACGCCAGACAAGCAACACTCCACGTTTTACTGAAAAACAGTTCCCATGCTGTGTTCAGGTCACCGATTAGAGGTCGGAATTCCTAATTACGTTTATTTATGCCGTTGCTCTCCCAGCCCCGTGATAGGGGAGGCCTCTTCGGTACATGCCAAAGAGCCAGTGTCTGGTACTCCCGGCCTCCTGGGTGTTAGTAGAACTGGGCCCATATTACTTTTCATTTCTTTTCGCAATATGCCCTGTTTTAGATGCCTGTTCATGAGACATTTGGGGTTGGAACAAACAGTGGGACCGTGGGAGCTAGTTTAGTGGGTTGGCAAACTGGCCACGATCGGAAACAAATGAGAACTTCTCTGGCCAGAGCTCACAGCAGCTCTGGCCCTCCAGGTGATCAAGAAGCACATTTGGGAATATTATTCCAAGAGTTTCTGTTCACATTTTTTAATGGGGGGGGGCGCTGTTCTCCCATAATACCAGTGACATTTCTGGTGCAACTGGGGTATTTTCCTGCATCTCTTCCCATGCTGCCTCCCCACCCCCCCACCCCCCACCCCCATTGTGCTCCTCCATTTCCAAATGCCGTGTCACAACAGCACTTGGATGTGTTTTTCTCAACTGTCATCAGCTCCAGCTGGCAAGACCAAGTTCTTGAAACACAGGAAGCATCCAGCGGAAAATATTTTAATAAAACAGACTCCTCATAAAATATTGTTCTGGGGGGGAAAGAAACCAGCTCCACCAATCTGTCAGCATTGTGCTGAGAGACACAAGAAGACAAGCCGGCAGGCAGGAGCCAGATCCTAATGGGCCTTTGTTGCGGGTTGGTTCCGTGTGGGGCACATGGACTCCGTGCCTAGCCCTTTAATCTAGCCTGGATTTTCTGGACTCACAGATCTTTGTCTCCGCCGGGAATATCAAAGTACATTGGCAACTTAGAGGGTTTGGCCAGCAGAGAGAGATGCAAGATCTTTGAAGTGGAGGGAAGGGTTCCATCCTCCCGACTTCTCGCCCCAACTCTCACTTCCAAATAGCACATTAAATAATTAACTTTGTGGACAGCAAGATGGAGCTGATTAACAATAAGACAGTCTCCACGGCCTCCCGCAGCAGCTCAGTGTCTGGAATTCATCAAGGCCCAGTTGCATCGGCTGCCAGCTCTGCGGCCGGCCCCTCCGTCAGATCCAGCTCTTCCTTTCCACATGATGTCTGTCTGTCCATTCATGCATCCATTCATTCAGCAGATAGCTCCAAAAACCTACCAGGTATGAGCAATTTGGGATTTTTAAGAGGAGGCCTTTAAAGAGAATCCCCAAGCTGACTCTTTGGTGACTTGCATTTTCCCAAAATGAAATTTCTCGTATGTCAAATGGCCTTTCCGAATCAAAGGTGGGTGTCCTCACCCCTTAAAGCCATCCGATGACAACTGGAAGAATACTTCAGAAAGATTTCTGGGGGAAACATTCCTTCTCTTTTTCAGCTAACACTAGCTAATTAATATTCAGTGACTATTTCTCCTCAAGAAGTGCTAGCTACTTGCATTATTATTCAGGACGGGCTAATGGAATGCTCTGAGGATTCCCTAGGGTGAGAGCTAAGGCCAGGAGGGGTCAGGCAGCGCGGGCTGTGGGTCAGAGGCCACCCAACAGCAAGTACAGTTGAGCACCTCTTATGTTCTAGGACCTCTTCGGCTGGTGTTTTTTCTTCTTCCACCGAATGGGAACTTGGGCTCAGCAAATATATGTGACCAGTGTTCCTGGGTCACCCAGTTAGAAGGTGGCAGGGCCAGGCCTCCAGATGGCTGCCTGATTTCATTCTCTCAGCTACACTCTGCTGCCCACAGGGGTCCCTTGTCAGTTTGGCTTTGCCTGGAGAGACGGTTCTGGGTCCTGTGTCCTAAGATGACTTGCCCCACACGCTGCCCTTCTTCTCTGGTTCCTCGAAGTCGGGAACTGGAGCTGTTCGGTCATCTTCCTGGCAGAGAAACAGCGTCCCCTGGTGCCTGAGTGTTTCTCCCTGGGGAAGGAAAGACAAGCAACACTGACGGAACATCCTGTGAGACTGTGAAGGGTAGGTGGTGGCTTTCCCATCTAACAGGGAAACTGAGGCTCAGAGGGAGACTTTCTGAAAGAACTAGTCCATGGTCTGAGGTAGGATCAGCTGTCTGCTGACACAGGCCTCACCCCTTCTGTCCCACCCAGCCTTTTTGTTGCGAACCTAAGCTGAGTGATGAGGACAGCGGTGGTTGCAGGGGGCATGGTGAGGTTCCCATCTCCCACCCGTGAACGGTCATTTCAGCCACAGTGGGTGTGGCAGGCAGGCCCCAGCTTCTATTCCCCTCGGCCTGCCAGGTGTAAGAGAATTTCCCATTGAATGTAGTGCTTAGCAGGAGCTGACAGCAAACTCTAGAAGGCAGTGCTGTGCCCACCCCCTCAGGATCATGCCCGGCATGCAGACGGAGGCCAAAGGCAGGGCGTCACCTGCTGGTCCCCAGGCGCCCCAGGCTGCCTGTCCTTTATGCCCCCCAGCAGGGGCCGGGCAGTATCCCTCTCAGAGTCGCGGAGGGTACAGACGGACGTGGTCAGACAGCCTCCACCTTGTTTAACCTTAATATCCCCAAGGGGTGGGGCTGTCTTCTGAGCCTTAATGGCCAAGAGGCTGGCAGTCAGGGTAGCTCAGAGACGCAACCCAGGGCTCACCAGCTGCAGAGCCTGAACTCGGGACTGCAAACCTCTGTGTCCCCTCCAACAGGTGAGCCCCACAACACCCGCACAGGAGTCCGGACTGGCTGCGGGCTGGTTATTTGAAGTTTCATTGTACTAAGTAGGAGTGGTCCAGATTCAGGCACCAAGGGCCCACAGGCCATTTCCCGGCTCACCTGGCTGGCCAGATTTGTACAAAATCTGCTCTTTTCAAACAATTTCGTTTGTCTGTAAAAATGACCCAATAACCTTATAATCCAGAAGTTTGGGGAAAGAGACAAGTTCATTCTGAACCTCACTCCTTATTAGCATGTCTGCAAGTTCCCCTCCAGGGTTTGTCCTATAGATAATTTGCAGAGCTGAAGCTTCCTTGCAATATTCCTATTTGTGGCCTTGCCCCACGTCCTTGTAACCCCTGCTGTTAACACAACTGTGGCAGGATCCCGCTTTGTGTGCATGCGTGGTCCGCCTCCCCACACCTCTCATATTGGATTTGTAGATTTTTCTAGGTGTTCACTAACATGAAATGTCAGAATAAATACCCTTGTCCTTAAAGCTTTTCTCATTTGATATCATCATAAGGAATGGAATGATTAACAACTACCATTAGCCAAGAACTGCCTAAGCACTTTGCATACACCATTTCCTTTAATCTCACAAGAAATCTGGGGGAGTAGGTATCATTAGCTCGATTTTATAGAAGTAGCTGAGACCCTGAGGGGTTGTCACTGCCCCGTACCCTCACCCAGTCCCAGAGGCAGATTTCTCTTCCATGTGGCTAAATAACTTGCTAAAAGAATTGTACCACT